TAAGAGAAACGGCAAATCTGGCAACATTGCAAATATTAAATATGGAATCTCTGTATCCCAAAATAGGTGTACCTCAAATTTTGTATAATTATGTCTGGTAATTTACGAGATAATTGGTAGTTTCCAGACTTTTGGGCCACTCTGTATACGCCAAGTAACATCGAAACTTGGAACGAGAAATACGGCGTAGAAGTATTACGATTGCCTCCCTATCACTGTGAGCTTAATCCAATAGATATGGTTTGGAGCCAAGTTAAACATTACGTTGCAGCCCGAAACACTGACTTTAAAAAAGATCGTATGCAACAACTCATCCATGAAGCGTTTGCCAATGTCTCTGCTGGAACCACAGAATATAACAGAGTTATATAACATTCACTACATGAACTTAGTTTCCTTGTGAATTATTTATCTCTTTAATAAAGTTTGGGTTTATTTTTTTGAAGTAATCCTCCCAAATTGGACGGTGCCACCCCCAAGACGAATATCTAGATCCGCCACCGATCCAAACTGAATGCTATCAAGAGTTATATAATTCTTGGACTTCAAAAATCAATAATCATAGCTTATATCGTTTTGGATAATTTTCTTCATCACGACGGATTTGCTTAAAATTTGGATTTAGGTAGCTCTTACCCTCCACTTTACTTTTTGACTTAAAACTAAGGTTTGTTTTTACTTGTGTGGTGAAAGCCACCCCTTCTTGGGGATGAATGATATACGTTAAAAATAAGTCAGGCAATTGATAAATTAATTAATCATATTCAGATTTTATTCTATAGAGTTTTTTCTACTAAGTCAGTACTTTTTGATTTATTTTTGAATGAAAATGTTCATTTGTCAAAATAAAATCCACGTTTTCAGACGGTTTTTCACAAATAACTCAAAAAATAAGAATTTAGCTTATAACAAACAAAAAAATAGTTTACTTATGAAGTCCTTAGACCCAGCCTAAGCAGAGTTGTAGCTCATGAAAAGTAGGTTCTTATTTGTCAAATTCCAAATCGAGTATTTCAACGTAAAATATTCGAACTCAAAAATAAACCACTTCTGTGTTTAAAAAAGCTTTATTTTTGTTTATTTTTTTAGTTTCTAGCATCAAAACTAAGGGAGTTATAATGAAAATAAAGTTGGCCCCTGTTTTATTAAAAATATCATGAAAACCACCCCCTAAGTAGAACCACCAAATAAAACGAATCGCTACTGTTTATAGTTTACTTTGTTTATGTATTTTTTATATGATCTATAAGTTTGATCTATAAGTATAAAGTGTTTATTTTTGAAAAAAAATGGATTTAAAGTAAAAGAAAATTTTTCGGAATTTTGAAAAAATGCGTTTTTACCATACATACTTTTACCCACCCTTAAAACTAACAAGGGTTGTTTTCAAGTTGAAATAAAATAAGTTCATAACAGCGCTTATACTAGATACAGATCAGATACAGAATACTATGGTGTCATCAGATATGCAGATAACACCATAATTTGCGGACAACTTAGAAGACCTACAAGTTCTTATGAACAAAATCACGTATTACAGTCAACAATATGGACTCAATATAAACATTAAGAAGACAAAGTTGATGATAATTAGCAAGAAAAGGATAACAGAAGGTCAACTCTACGTCAACCAATCTCCTGTAGAAAGAGTACCGCACTACAACTACCTCGGCACCATAATAAATGAAGAATGGACCAACAACCAGGAGATTAGAGCACGCATCGCAAAAGCTAGATCCACCTTCAATCGGATGGGGGCGTTCTTCGAGAGTCACAACCTCTTTCTTGATACAAAAGTAAGAATGCTGCGATGCTACGTCTTCTTTGTCCTTTCATATGGTGTTGAATCGTGGACCTTGAACGAAGATATGTGCAAAAAGCTGGAATCATTTGAGATGTAGCTAAATCTGAGAATACTTAAAATCCCGTGGACTGACCGAGTCACAAATGAGGAAGTTCTTAGAAGAATGAATAAGAACCGAAAGGTACTAACCACCATTATATCTCGAAAGTTACAATTCTTCGGACATATAAAGCGAGGTCCAGGAAGAAGAAGAACATTTTAGTTAAAGAACCTCAGAATCTGGTTCAATACAACATCTGTGCAGCTTTTCCGCGCTGCTGCAGATAAGATATATATTGCCATGATGATTGCCAACATTCGTAACGGATAGACACATCAAGAAGAAGAATACTAGATACGATTCGTTCTGCTTGCCTGTGGTATTGTAGTTCTGATCCTTGACATTTCATTGAGGGTTTTTTGGCGATTAAAACACCACGCCTGCTAAAACGGGTTGGTGAGTTTCGATTCAGCCGCCCATTCTGGGTCAGATGCTGATTGCAGCCGACCACTCTGGATCAGACGCAGATGTTTAAAATACTGGTTGGTCGACCATGTAAAAGAACATCCCTTTTATCGTCATTTTTCCAATGCCTAAACGGAGTCTCTAATATATTACACACCAAGTCATTACTTAATTGGATTCATGTCTGTCTAAAATTATTTTTGTCCAAACGAAATCCACGAGAACACTTTATATCCGAAATCCGAAACAAACCACAGAGAAATGTATTAATAAAGTGCAGTAAACAAATCAAATTAAAACTGTGACTAAACCAAACTAGTAAATACTATAGTATACACTATACTATATAAAAATATCTATATAATAGACTAAATTTCAAAATATTGTCACTGAGAGAAATTTCCGAAAAATAGGAATACCAAATAGGTACACATTTAACAGTGGTAGTGAAGACTGATAACGAATTTTTAGACGGAACTGCACTCGCCAGTTTTCTCAGCTATCACTAAGGATAGGCTGACGTCACTTTGACATGGCAATCGTGAACGCTTAAGCAGATGGATTTCGCATTTCAAAAATGATATTCACCTATTCCTGAATCCTACACGGCTAGTGACACAGGTCAGGACTTGATCGTCAAGTACCTACCGCTAATAAAGCTAGTTAAAAGAGAATAAATAATTGATTTCAGAATTTAGATTTAATAATGTTACTTTCATTTTTTATTTATTTGTCTCAATTTAATTATATTTTTTTGGTGAACCTCACCTTCACCTTCTTCACCTGGCCGGCCGCCGCTGGTTCATAACATTTTGATTAAAAAAATATTGCATTTAATATAGTTTTAATGAAAAAAAGTGCTACAACTATTCGAATTTTCTGCGTAACAGGTGGATTTTATAAGGTTAGAAATTATGTGGTAAAAAATAAAACAGTAAAGAAATAAATTTAATGTCACTGTATAATTAAATAATTCCAAATTTCTTGAATTTACAATCATATATATGATGTTTCCTATGGAGTTAGTTTTCACCTTTAAAAAATAAAAGCAACAAACGGTGAAGGGTATGTATAACCTAAATCCATATTTCCATGCAAATCAGTAGAGACAAGGTATTCAATGACAGTGTTTTAATTATAACTATTCTAGGTGAGATTTAGTAGTTAAACTGTGATAAAATCTTAAACTATGTTGTTTAATGTTAATTGACATTCATTCACTGCATTGAAAGATTATTTGAATCAATTACCCGCTTTAATTTACAATTATATACGATATGTTTCTAATAGGGGTAGTTTTCACCTCTAAAAAATATTAAGGCATCAACGGCACAAGTTCAAAAGTGAAATGGAGGGTAAAGTAGAACCTTAATCCAAAATATTCATGCAATTCGGTGGTGACACTGAATATTATACAGTTTCGTCTTACGTTCATTTACTGTAGCAATAGTGATGCTTCGTGATTGAACAATCACCACTACCTTCAGTATAACAAGCACTTGGGAATTGACTGCCAAAAATGTATTCAACAATCAACAATGATCTCGTATAACCATTACTTATTTAGTCACTATATAGTTGATCGTTCTTTTCGTTATATTTAAAAATATTGCACGTAATTTAAAAACTAATTTAGCAAGCATACTGGAATGATATCTATTTTTTAAGAGGTTTTAAAATCATCTTTGGAAATAATCCTGTTATGATAATTAGTTAAATTGATCCTAAAACTAAACTTTGGTAGTGCAGATACTACTTACTACGTAGTGAAAAGCATAAGTTGTGTTATTCCCTTTCTCTATCAATTACTTGTCAGAATATGTCTTGAATTGTAGGTACATTTTGTAACTTATGAAAGGAATATTAACGGAAAAAAAGTTTCGCTTAAGAAAAATCGTTACACTGAATAAATACAATAAATAAAATTGTAATATGTCATCACTTTGACCTGATATATACTATATAGATATATACTATATAAAACATATCAATTGTAATAAATTAGACTTACCACAGTTTCAAATGTAAGGTATTTTATTCATACACACAAGTGTTCATAATATGAGGCGCGCGGCGGTTGTTCGAAAAACACATTTTCTTTACTAAATTAAGCGATTATAAACTAATAAAACAAAATTCGCATTAAAGGTATAACAGAGATATACATAATAATTTTTTTTGAGGATTTTACTATTCTCTGATTTTTTCATTCAAAACGTATGCACTCTTTCCACCATCTATCGGAAAATAGATGCATTACTAGTGACAGTTTGAAAAAGGCCTGTGGTAATTTAAATATTATTTCGAACTTTATAAAAACCAAATCAGTAAAAAAATATATTTAAAATCAATAAACTTATAATTTTTATAATAAAAGTTAATGTGTACATATTCTGAATTATTGTTGCTAATTTTAAAATTTAACATTATTTAAATGTATTTATTATAAGCAATAAAAAAGTCACGTATATTTAAATTTTTACTAAATATATTTTATATAATTTATTAGTACAACTTATGAATATTTATACCATAAATACTGATAAACACTTATATTTTAAAAAATAAAAACTATTGAATTTTTTTAGAGATCTATATTTGAAAAGCTGTACTTCTTTTTTATCCTATGGCTATACGCTAACTGCACTATAGCAACTAGCATCCCACGACGCCTACGACCATAATAAAAAAGAAGAATTAGGTTATAACACTTTAAATGTTGTTTTAATAATTTTTAAACAATTTCTTTAATAATTAATTTAAAATGACACATAGAAATATATTTCTTAAACCAGGATTTATAAACGTACCTCTTCAAAACGGTATTGGTCGTTATATTGGACAGTTGCAAAGAATTGTATTAAAATTTTGCAAAAATAATGGATCCAGTCGTGGAATGAGGTAAAAATTTCGTTAATAATGTCTAGATTATTATATTGAAACACCTATTGTATAATTAGGTTGTAAATTATAGTTGTTGCAATATATTTGATTTATATGAGATGTAAAAATGTCAAAACAAATCGCATAGGTGTTTGATTTTCCATTTGATCATAATCCTCTTGCTCAAAGAGGTGATAATAATAATATTTGTATCTTTGGTGAAATATAATTAATAACACAATATACCCATACTTAATTCCTAATAGTTTTTATTAAATACATTCATAAATAGATTTTTGATTAAAAATGAGCTTAAATGTAACTGCAAAATTGAGAATGATGTTTTATCACTGATAATGCTACTTTTATGTAGGTATATGACGTATGGTATTACATATGAAAGTTTTAAGTGCCTGTAACATGAAGGTAAAAATATTGAAAAATAAACTATCCAATAAAAGCACTGCAGAAAATATATATTAATTTCAGCAGATTAATTTCATTTCTTGGGATGCCATCCCTCACAACACATAATTTCATAATACTTTCATATATATAATAAATAGTCAAAATACCAACTCTACCTAAAAATAATATCTCCCACAAATCAGGTGTTGTTGACTGATTTTACCCACAAAACACAGTTTTTAAAAAATGTGTCACAATAAAGTTTGTAAGAGATTTTTGGATTGTTAATTTTTTGTGAGAAGGAAATCTTCATAGACTGTCAGGGCAGATTACATTACCCCAAGAATGATGTGTGGGATTCAGTCTACTCACCCGATCCAGACACCCTCGAAGCCTATGGAATAGATTGTGAAAACGCAACTGCATACCCAGTAAAACCCCTCATGTTCAGCTGTTGGCACCCAGTATGTGTTCTGAGCAAACATTACTTCAGCTGCACAGCTGCTGACTCTCTCTCTACTCAATGTTAGTAAGCAAACAGTGAGAAGGAGTAGTCTATCTTTTGACTTATTTTGTTTGTTTTGATTTGTTCCATAAAATAAGGAATAACAGTCTTGCAGGCTTCTGTCACTCTCTCATCTCCCATTTTGTCATAGGGTTGTTAGACTAAAACACTAATACATTATTTTTACATTGTGCCATTTATCATTGTAAAATTTACTGTACAAAAATAAGTCAATATTAATTTTTACCAATTTTAAAACTTTGATTTGATTGAATAAAATGGATTAAAAATAGCAAATATTGTTGACTGGTCAATAGAATTAATTTTAAAAAGAGATGTTCTAGTGCTTTCTTCTCTGTGATTAATAGTCAAGGCTGAATATGGGGAATAGTATCCAATAGATTCAAAATAAAAATTTTACTCATATTCCACATATTTAATTTTTAGTTGTCCAAAACATTTTGAAAATAGCAATTGTGGAATTGTCACAGAAATTTTCCTTAGTTTTAAGTACAATTAGTTTTGTTTTATAAAAAAAATTGTAATTTACAAGCATCTGTTTTTGTACACACTTTATGTAATGTACACTAGAAAACAGTATTTGTGATGGAAGTGATTAATTCTAGTTATGGCCAAAGTGAATTAAGTATAACAAAGGACAAAAAGTTTTCTAGAGACCAAATGTATGTTTTCTTAAAACATACATCTGGTCTACTTGGAAGTTAACTGAACATTTTGTACGAAAAAACACAAGCCAATCATTCAGATTGTTTGTGTCTCAAAAATCCAATAAGTGGACAGGACTAGGTTCATTTATTTGATTAGGATCAGGCAGAGATGCTAAGCTTGATATGCTAATTATTATTATATATGTATTCAGCTAAATACATGGTTGAAACTCTTAAGACTATATTCGCTCCGTGCGTGACTGGCGTGATACCTACGCCTTCATCTGACAGTTTTGAACCTCCCAATTTTCAGGTTAAACATATGACATATATACGTATATGTAGACGTATATTTAACATTGTTAAATACATGCGAAATTGGCAATTATTAATAATTAGTTTTTTAATTATATTTTTTCAGTTTATGTACAAAACAAATGTAGTATTAAAAACTGTGTTTCTCAAAATTCATCATAATATATCTTTTCAACCCCACACAAAAAAGAAGGGGAAAAATCTAGTACTGCCAAATCAAGTTTTTCATGTCAAAGAGCATATAATTAAAAACAATAATAGTAAAAGTTATTATATAAAAGCTAAAGTCATCAGGCACTCTGCAGTTAGCTTGAAGCCTTATGAAATATGATTTAAGGTAAATTAATTAATGTTTTTCTATTTTAATTGCATAAAAATCAAATTATGTACTATTTACTTTTCAGTAGTAATATCCCTAGGACATTAATAACAGACGAGATAATTTCATGACAATCGAAAGCTCGTTCCTTGGTAATAGCACAAAGCCGAAGGCTGAGTCAGAAATTTGTCATGAAATTATGAGGCATTCATCAATGTCCGAGGGATATTCGGCGGATAATTTTTCGAAAAAAAAAATCATAACTCAACGAAACATTTATTTATTAAAAGTACAGTTAGTGAAAGTACAATTATTAAAATTTAAGTTAACATTAGATTCGCAACAAAATTCCATGTATATTCCCCAAATATATTTGTGACTGTAGGTTGTATTTCTGGGAATTTTTTCTTTGATTAGCGCATTTATACTTTGAACATTCTCATTGCCGAAACGGGATATTTTGAAATTTATTTGGATGAGTTGTCAAACTCGATCGTGTTGTCATAGGGATTGAAAATTGCACTGAATGCAATTATCAGTCTAATGTTGACATGATTGGGTGAAATTGTTCCACATGACACAAAATGAAGAAATTTGAATGGTTGTTAGAACAGTTGAAAAATTATCGTATTAATAGCATGAATCCATCTTTTTCTTTTTTCTAATTTATATGTAATCTTTGGAAACCTATAAAAACTGCACTCACTATTTTTGCTAATATTAGCACAATTAAATACGCAGCATGTATTTGCACCATTTTTGATAAAATTTATGCTTGAAAGATAGGTCCAATTTTGTGATATTTCGCCGCTATGCAAACTGGCATCGTTTCAAGGTACCCCTAACATGCTCACGCATGGAGCGAATATAAAACGTATGTATCTTTAATAATATATAATAATTTAGTCTATTCCTACTTATAACTTTGGAAATCACTGTAATGTTTTTCGTGTTTTGTGGTATTTGTGCTATTAAGATGCATATATTTTTTTAATCTGTCAGATATTTATTTTAGTATAAACTTTTAACTGGAGTTTTAGCTAAAACAAAAAACATTAATAAACTAATGGCTAGCTTTAAAATGAAAATTATTAATTATTCATTTCAATATCCAATTCTAAATGTTTTTTAGACATATCCCCATCCACACCTATCAGAGAAGTAATTTCTTGATGAAGGATTCGAATTTTTTGACTAAATTCTGTATGACTTTGAATGGATGTAATTTGAAAATAAATTACAAACTTATTGATTGACAAATTGGAATAAATACTCTTTAACTGTCATATAATGTTGTAATGTTTTATTCAATCTATGGTCTGTTTTATATACAGTATTTATTTACTTTTATTTGCTATAACTTATGATTTGTACCATTACTCCTTAAAATCTAAAATACAGACTAACTGAAAAAGCCTTTGTGGAAGACTACCTTTAACTAAGAAGTTTTTAATTTATAATAACTTGTTTTAGGGAATATATCGAATCAGACTTAGTGAGTTTTGCTAAGAACAATCCTGGAGTTGTAGTATATGTAAAACCAAGAAGACATCGTACAGCAATTATAAAAGCAGAATATTGTAAGTAATAATGATAAATAGATTCAAAACCAGTTACTTCCGTTAAGTTTTTTCTAAGGAAAATCGCAAACAAATAAAAATTATTAAGTATAAATAATACGATTTTATGAATTTAGTCTAAATTAAAAATAATTGGAACAGAAAGTTGTAGCGTATTATCATTCAATGTTTAATTTTATAATTATTTTACAAGCATACATTCAATTGATTGCACAAGTGTTTTATTAAGTGCTGTCATATCTTGCATTTATTTAGCTCTACATGAAACCCACTGCTTTCAATCAATTACTTTTCTGTTTAGTATAGATTAGTTATTATCATTTTATCTACATTAACTTCTTGAGTCTAAGACAAATGTTAAAACTTGTTATTTAGATAGACTGTTCATATTCAGATTTAAGCCATATGGCTGTCACTCTCTCTAAGGGGAAAATTCGCCCATTTCAGAAAACTATGGTATCAAAAAGATTGAGCTGTTGTGGGGCTGTTTCCGTGTGATCAAGCACTAGGTGACTTGATAAGCTGGAGTATCTCCCAAAAATTTTCATATACATCTGGACATCGAAAGTAGTACATCGAGTACATTGAGCTTTTTGGATGGACTTATGGAGATGTTCCTTCAGACTCAGCTTTTTATGTTTTCTAGGAGGTTCTTTTGAATGACTCCAGTAGTAGAGAGACTAATAGGTCTCAGTTGGGTACTTTCCATGCTCCATTGTCTCTATTTGATTTTCCAAATATCTGATTATCCAAATTATTGTTGTTATGTATCACCACATCACTTAGTGTTGTTTGTTTAATTGCTTTATTAACTAGTATGAGATCTAGTCTATTATGTGCCACTCTATTGATACTGATTCCAGTATAGCTTATATTTGTCATTCTCAAGCACACTGTAAGGACATATTGATAATAAGGGAGATGTTTGGGGTGTGAAAATGTCCCAATTTGTTATCTATCTCTTCATAAAGGATCTTTTCTACTAAGTCATGCCATTCTTTATATTCAGTTGTAGCTAAAACCTATCAGTGTCCCATAAGATTTTGGATGGTTTCTTGGACTTGAGATCTATATCAGCAAATGTTGTCTTGGACCTGAGGGTATTTCACAAAAAATTTCAGGTAATTTTTAGTCCATAAATTATTTTTACAAGTCCAGGTATCTAGGTAATGTTGATCTTTCTGCAACACTATGAGAAAGATTTTCTACATCAGTTTTAGTTCACTTAACGTAACAACACCAAATAAATAGTTAAGCTCGGAACATGCGTAGGTACTTAGTGCCTTATAACAAATTTTTACTGTTAAGATGGGAATGATGCAACTTTTTTAACCTTCTTAACTCTTATGACTCTTAAGTTAGCTCGATCTTCATTTGCTTTAGTCAATACTTGGCGTTTGCTGTACTCCAAAATTTTTATACATATCACTTTAACACATGTTCTCGATTTTTTGGTTTTTACATGTTGAATTCTCCAGGCTGAATCTTTTCTCTGACTATATTTAAAACAAAGCACTAAAGCACAGTTTTACCATCTCATCTAGGAGGTTTCGAGTGAAAGCAATTAATTTAATGTTAATGTATTGTACTACAGTATTGTTATTTTTGATGCTAAAACCTAAGTTAGTGAAGTTGAGTAGCTGGCACATGGGTTCATCGCTAGAGAGTACAACAGTGGATTTAATGGGTCCACTTGGAATAGGGCCTAGGTTATTGCGATGTTTTTAGTTTTGATAATGTTTTCACCAGATATTTGGAAGTTAATTTAGGTCTTCTAATCTGTCATTATAGGCTTTAAAATTATCACTATATTGTCTTCGATTTTATATATTCTTAATATATCTATAATAGATTTAATCGGCACTGAGTTAAAGGCTTTCTTGAAATCAATAATAGTAGTAAAGATGATCCGCTTTTTGTTATATTTATAAGTTGATTATAAGTTTATCTTTGCTGCCCAATTCGCAAAGGAACATTAGCGCATCTTTTCTGTTGAGGCTCTATGATGATATTGTTTAAAGCACAGTGTTGGTTGGAGGTGAGCTAAATATCACTACTCTGTGATTTAACAGCTGTGATTAGAAAATAACAATCAGGACCTGTGAATAACAACAAAATATACTGTGACTGCGATTTCGGTTTTGACTGTTATTATACAGTGTCAATTTTAAAACTTATAATGGGTTGTATCTCACAAACAAAAGCTGATATCGAAAAAAGCTTGAAACTTTTTCTAGGATAATAAGGGGGAACTAAAATGACATGAAAGAGAACTCACCCTCATCAACCCCTAGGCCCACCACCCCAACCAAAAAAGTTTAAATTGCAAACCCCTACTTGTGATACATCATTGAAAAGACTATAAAAATGCTATCCAATGGTATAAATAATAATTATACAGGGTGAAGCAATAATTGTGAAACTTTGGCTTAAATGGAAAATTTAATGAGGTTTTTGTTGATTATGTTGATGATCCTGTATAATTATTGTTTAATAATTATACAGATTGTTAATATCAGCCGGCTTACCTTTTGTATTTGTAATGCTATCTCCCGGACTATTATTTTTAATGATAAGTGCCCGTCGGAATTTTTTTTGTTAAATAAAACTTAATTTGCTGTTTTTGCAAAACAAGTTAAAACATCTGTTTTTGGGTTCTGTCAGATTCAATAATTTTTGTATCAGATTCAATATTTTGAGAATTTTAAATGTCATTAGTTTTCATCATTTGTACGATCGGTACTGTCATTCAGCTGTAGTTGTCACGATGGTTTACAGTATACCTGAACGCGTGGAGATCATTTTTATATTTGCGTCCTAGAACCAGTGTTATTTATACAGCTCAAATATTTCATGAAATGCATCCGGACAAAAATGTAAGTCACGTGTAGGTCCGCGATTTAGTTGAAAAGTTTAGAGAAACGGGATCAGTGCAAAATATAAAAAGGGATGGCCCAAGATTACTGAATAAGGCATCTCAAATTAGGTCCTTGGAATTTTGCATAGACTACTGCTAACACAGTATTGCAATGACGACTTTCACATGACGTTAGAAGTGGATCATAAGTTACCGTACAACACAATTCTTCAGATGGCATGATCCAGACGACGATTGAGTTTTGTGAACTCTATGACTGAAGAATTCTCGTTGAACCGAGAATGTTAAAAAATATTTGTTTCACTGATGAATGTACTTTTATGCTGAATGGTAATGTAAATAAACAAAACTGTCGGTACTGGAGTGATGCGAACCCGCATCGATTCAGAGAAGGTCACACTCAATATCCTGAAAAACTGAATGTTTGGGCAGGAATATCAGGCGATGCTATAATTGGCCCTTGTTCATACCAGGCAATTTAAGTGGCGACATTTATCTCGATATGTTGGAAAACACCATCGAACCTTTAATTGTGCATGAATTAGAGAACCAAAGGGGACGATCAAGGCAACCTAGCTCTAGACGAAGATTTGCTGCACTCCCAACAGATGGAACACCTCCTCACTATGCAGCTCCAGTTAGGCACTGGTTGGATACTAATTATCCGAACAAATGGATTGTCAGAAGAGAGAGGTCCTATTGAATGGCCACCGAGGTCGCCAGACTTACCGCTACCTGATTTTTTTCTATGGGGTTACCTCAAGTCAGTTGGTTATAAAACTCAACCTACGTCACTTGGGGAATTGCGAGAAAGAATTATTACTAGAACATTTTTTGCCAAAGTTCGTGCAGAATTTGAAATTTGCATAATGTGGCTGTATTATTGTTTACAAAACAACGGAACCCACTTTGAACATTTACTTAATTGACATTTTTGACAAATTTGTAGTTCAACAAAAACCACATTAAATTTTCGATTTAAGCCAAGTTTCACAATTATATACGACACTAGGGGGTTGATGGGGGTGAGTTCCCTTTCATGTCATTTTAGTTTCCCCTTACTATCTTAGAAACGGTTCAAGCATTTTTCGATATCAGCTTTTGTTCGTGAGATATAGCCCATTGTCTTCTTCTTCTTCTTCCTTCTAGTATGTAGGCTTTAAAACCTGTTTCTTCTTCAATATTAGCCTACTAAATTGTTTAAATTATCGCCACCTTTTTCTTGGTCTGCCATACTTTATTCGTCCATTTGGTGACTTATCTCGTGCTGTTCGTACTATTCTATCCTCTGCCATTCTAACCGATATGATCGTTACGCTCCTGTTTTCGTTTTGTCACCCATCCAATTAGATCTTCTATATTGCATGCTCTTCTTATGTTTTCGCTTCTCTCCCGTATCCAACAGACTGCCTTGAAGTTTGTCGGAGTATTTTCATCTCTAGCAGTCGTCTCCTTTTAGATGTGTCATGTCTTGTCTCCGTTGTGTATGTTAATATAGGTCTAATTGCTACGTTATAGATTCTTGTTTTTGTGCCTTGTCCTTGGTGTTTGTTCTTCCAGATTGTGTCATTAAGAGAACCCGCCGCTTTAACTTGCTTTTAGACTTTGTTGTCGTACTTCTTCAACAACGCCGTAACTAGTTATATCTATTCCCTGATATCCTAAACCTTGCTTCCTGCTTTATTTTCCCAACAAATTTCGGTTTTACACCTTAGTGGGGTTGCCCATTGCAAGTTTTTAAAATTGATACACTATATGTTTGTAGTTCTTGATCGCTAAAACGTAATATATCTTCTCGTCTTTGTCGCAAGTTACAGAGAAACATGTAACATGATAACAAGGAACGAGTTAGAGGTAGCCGGCGCATGGCGGTATTGTAAAGTATCTTTCTAACGAGGAATACAAAGGCAAAGATAATAGTATATCGCCAATGGAGAAATATTATTGGTGTAATATTATTACGTAAAAAATATTGGAAGAAAATGAAAAGGGATTTAGAATTTCAGTTTATTGAGTTTGTGTAACTCGTCGTATTTGTATCGATATTCAATAATTTTTATTCTCATACATTTTAAAAATGCCACTAAGCCAAAAAAAAAAAGAAAAGTTTATCATACGCATACGACTATTTTCGTTGCTCTGTTAAATAACAATCACAGGTTAAAATCAAAATAAATAAAAAATCACGATCACAGTTATACCTGTGATTGCAGAATCACAGTTTAGCCCATCACTAGTGTTGGTAGATATGCTGGGCTACACAGAATGTGACCATTTATACAAAGTTGAAGGACAAGTAATTGGGCATAAGTTTTATTTAAAAATCACTAATAAAAGGTATAAAATTAAAAACCCTTTAGGGCTACATTACAACAGAAGGCTTTCGGACTATATCCATCATCACGTGCATTTACCAGGTTTACCAGTCAAGCTACGAGTATGTATGTAAAAACCCTTAAAATGGTAAAAAATTGATTATTTATTACATATTTGTTAATAAATTGATCCTGAGTAGTAATTTGGCGGTTACTTGGTCAGATATGTTTTTATGCTTCGGTAGCTTCGTCCCGGAGTTTGAAATGATGGTATTTCCTGCGGATTAGAAATAACATGATTAATTATCGTTTACCAGCACTCATAAACACTCCAAACTTCTTTAGTAAGCAGTTTTGAACTCACTGGTCGGGAGATTTCCATTTATGAACTTTTTTGATAAGATCTGAGACTTCTGCAGTGAAGGGTTTGTTAAGAGTGAGTATCGTAGTTGTGCGTGGTATTTTCGATCCAACCAGCCGAACAGCAGGTTTGGAAAGCTAATTTACCCAAAACTTATGACTTTCTTCTGTCTCGAGTAGGACATTTTCTACACTGGAATTGGGTTTCGATAGAACGCCTTCTCGGCATCCAGTGGGACTGCCGGTTAGAAGTTATACTTCTATACACGTGTTCGCCGTTACAAATTTATATGGAGTCAATCTGCAACAATCATTAAATATGTAATGCTATAGGTAAGAGAGAGCAGAAAGAGAAAAAGAATTAGGTATATGGTGCATCGTTTGCTGTATATAAACATTTAACCCTATAATAGGAGTAAAAAAAAATTTTACACATACTCTGCAGTAAAATTATTGTTTATTTTGTTATTAATATAAAAATATAATACAATACAACTGCAACATAATTAAATATAATAAGACAATACAAATTTAAAATGCCATATGCATAAGTATTTATAAACGATAATATACATAACCTACTTACACATATATTTAATTTAGCATGATAATAATATTAATAAAAACAATAATAATATTAATAAATATTCTACATTTTTTACAAAAGGAACATTTTTATTCTCGAGAGAGAAGAGAGAGAAAAAATATATCTTCTGTCTCTTTCTTAACTTATATCTTACATGTGTATTGATTTTGCCGATTCACTCTCGTACAAATTTCCAACGTCGAACGCGCGTATAGGAGTATAACTGCAAAAAATGCATTGTTGCATTTTCGGTTGTTACTAACAACTGTATCTCCTTCGTCAGCCTAAATATATATATATATATATATATATAATATATATATAATATCTTATATATATATATATATATATATATATATATAGTATAATATATATATATATATAATATATATATATATATATATATATATATCTATATATAATTATATATATATATATATATTATATATTTATATATATATATATAACTAATTTCCTGGAACTTGCTGGGCCGTATTGTTTTCTAGATTGTGAGTGTCTTGCAGTTAGCATTATTTCTTCAGTTCTTCTGATTGACTTTTCTGCTTGTTATTCCTCCGAAAACATATTCTGTGATTTGACCAATTATCCCGGTATAATTCATTCAATAATTGGATCTCCTCAACAGCCGTTTTTCCCAGAACTTTATCATCGCCCTTTCGATATTTAGTACTCCATTGTGTTCGGTATTGCTCATAACATTAATAATTGCTGTTGCTGCATAGTAAATCGGCTTATGCAAATATTCCAATGTATGGGCTTCTACGGCATAAATTCGCCATAAAGATGTTGTCAACAGCCAATCGTTTCTTGATCGGAGTTTGTCATCTTGTAATAGAAGCGCAAACTATTTTTATTCATGGACATAGTCTCATTTTCATATGCTGTCTTAGTTGTCCCGCTTCGGTGAGCGCTGGCTGATGTTTCAACTTAACTTCTTCAGCGAGTGGAGATCTTGTTATTTGTCTTTCTTGAAATCAGCTGTTTTCTCTCTTTCAACGAGTCAGCCCATTTGTATACCAAGCACCTCTTAAATGTGATTTTACAACTTTAAAAGGTTTTTCAACCTTATAACAGAGGCGTTTTCCTTCTAATGTTTTAATGTGTTTTGTGTCGACAATCACTCTTGCACTCTATTCCACGATCACGAAAATCAAGCTGATTTTAATAATAAAAAATGTACACACTATCAAGTTTTTTTGGGAACATACACCTGTTGCTAGTTTGACGTATAGTTATTAAGAAGCACCATTATCCATCACTTCTACATCACTGATTAGAAAGAATCTGTATTTTCTCTTTGGTTATATATTGTACATTCAGCCGGCTATTAGCACTGATATATTTATTTCTACTTCAGTAATCCATTTATAAAATATTTTTTTTTTAGTAAATGGTGAGGTTCAGTGGCTTAATTGTAGAAATTTTACAAGAGAAGAAATTACCAAATGGATTGAACATTTAAAAAGACAGCAAAAAGTTCATGAAGGTACACGAATTAGGAAATTATGGCAAACTGACAACCCTTCCATCCAAGGCCCATGGACACCATTTACGTTTAAAGATCCAAACTTAAATTTGGCAAAATATCCTAATGAAGAATTATCCCAAACAGAAAACATTGCTGTTAGTAGTCAAGACGAATTAGTTGAATTATTTAAAAAGCAGAAAATTGAAGAATTAGAAGCAGCTAAAGCTACTAATTAATGAGTTATTGTAGTTTTTTTATTATTTAAGTTTCCTAGTATATTAGTATATAAAAAATATCAAAACATGTGAAGTTATTATTCTTTAATAATATACTATTGTTTATCCTAGAAGAGTCCTGCTTGTCAATATTTACTATACAGGCCTTTTAAAGTCAACCAAAAATATACAGATATACAATTGTTATTAAAGCAGTTGGTTTTGGTTCGTCATAGCGAGTAAACGTACGATATTTAAAATCTTGTTCATGTGCCCTCCTCTATCGAAGGTTGGCGATTACTTCTGCAATTATTTCTCTATCTTGGGCTTTTCTTATTATTGATTAAACCTGGGTCTAACCCAGTCCATTATTTTGTCTTTTTTTCTTCGATGTATCTTAGCCACGTTACTTGTCATCTACAGGACCTTGCCTTCCATTCTCAGTTGTAAGAAGTTGTGCCTAAGTACATGTTCAAAATTATATATAATATATATATATATATATATATATATATATAATATATATATATATATATATATATATCCGGTTTTTTTAGGCGTTACGCCCGTCCGGTAGGGATCTATGGAGGAGTATCACCAAGCCGCAAGACCTTATCTCTTGCCGTACTGCTCCACCATAGGCCGATCAGATCCCAGCATATCCTAGTCTAAGCCGCAGATTCATCTAGAATTTTAAACTGCTGCGTTAGACTTTTTTGTTTTCACTACATCGAGCTGGGGCTCGAACCCACATCCACTGAACCATTCGACAGTGAAGCGAATGAGAGGCAGCCGCACAGCCCGCTGAGCTATCTGACCGACACATGTTCAAAATTACATACTTAAAATCAAATTAATAAATAGATGTCATAAAAGTCAAAAGCTCGCAAGATGGCTCCACAAGATATTTATTCCAAAAAAAAAATAACAAGAAGCAGAAACATATATATTACAGAAATAGATCTATCATAGCCCTTCATAGATTTATCACAGAAATTGATAGAGTCGAGAAAGCACACATTAAGTCTAATATCTTAGCCTCAGCTAATGAAGTTCTGGGTGAATGAAAAATAAATCAAAATTAAATCTTTTCCAATGCGAAGAACTCCATAGTTTTGTACAGAATGGAAGGAAAAATGTAAAGAAAAAGCTTACCTGAAATACATGTCAACCAAGACATAAGAGGCATACGATAACTACAAGACGTATTTTGAGAACGATTTTCGAAGTAGAAATTGAAACGTCAATAAACTTACTTTAACCTTCAATTGTGGCTTATTCCTATTAAAATAGTAATTAGGTTGTAGGAAGGGTTAGGTGCAAGAGAGGCTTTGTTTTCAGTTAAATTTGTGTAAAAAGTACTATAATCAATACCAAGATGTTTTTGTACATTTCATAGATTATCAGAAAGCTTTTGATAACGTTAAACACAATATCTTACTAAATAGGCTCCTAGAGAGAGGAATAGACACAAAAGACATCACAAGAACAGTACTTTTTAATATATACGTGGAAAAAATATTCCAAATGGTTCTCGAATGGGAAAGTAAAGTTATTAAAAAAACGGAATTCAAATAAAAAAGATACGATATGCTGACAATACGGTAATTCTAGCACTAACGTTAGAGGATCTGCAGCATATGTTTGACAGGATTGGCGCCACTGGTAAACGATTTAGGCGTAAGATCAACTCATCAAACAATCTTGACAGTCGATGGAAATCGCATAGAGTGGGTATCACGATTTAAACATCTGGGCACCACGGTCAACAAAAATGGAATTGCGATGAAGAAGTTAAACTATAAGAATCACTTACGCAAAAAAAAAACATTTGTCAAAAATAAAAATTTTCTATTAGCTCGCAGTCTCCCACTTGTACTTTTAGACTACATGTTGTGAAGTGCCTAAGAAAGACAAAAGATTGGTGTAATGCCAGAGAGGTGGCCAGAATATTCCGAAGAGCCGAAAACCGCACTCTACAAATGGTATGAAGGGTACAGACAACCGCTAACCTGCGGTCAAGGACATGGCACACAAAGAAGAACTGAATTTTGATTTATGGGAAATGTTTGAGGCACCTAAAAACAAATATGCCAGGAAAGACATTTTATGTTATACAAATGACGCATGTATAGCAGTTTATACTCCTTTAATAGAACCTCCAACACAATTATTGCTTCAGCCTAGAAAACAAAATGCATGAAATAGATAAATTAATTATCAAAAATGAAATTCAAATATTTAGGTATTGAAATATCTATCTATCTATATGTAAAAACCTATCACGACATATCAAGCCGAAACCACATCAAAACCCAAAAAACTGCTGGAAATAGGAATCAAGATATTTCATAGAATTACCCGAAAGCATAGGGAAAACAACGTACCATTACAATAATATTATTGTATGTAAAACATTACAATTGCAATTTTACAATTATTGTTAAGAGCGTAGGAGCAAATTTTCGGGTCAATGCTTTTTAAATGCATTTATTTTTTTCGAATCCTGAGAAAACTGATAAGTATTTTTGAAAAATTTAAACGCAGAATGAAAGATTAAATTATCGAGGGCAGAAAGTCCCTTCGAATAGTTTTTTCGAGTGAGATATTTGAAATTAATCTTTTTCACCCTTGTAATTTATTAAAATAAACATTATAGAAGTTTTCAAGGACTTTTCGCCCTCGGCAATAATGTAACCTTTTATTCTCCGTTTCAATTTTACAAAAATACTTATTAGTTTTCTCAGGATTCGAAAAAAATGAACGATTTAAAAAGCATTGGCCCGAAATTTTGCGCCTACGCTCTATAGATTAAGATAAGGGTAATAAAAAACAAAATAGATATGATGAAATTTATTTTATACAATATAAAACTAGAAAGAATATGTACAATTTAATAAATATTACATCTACAAAATGAAAACATTGTTACGCAAATGATCCGCATTAATGATTACAAAAGCCTTTAATTGTGCCATTTCATACAAAAATATACAAAATAAATGCCGTCATCAGTTCACATTTTAATCACGCACCTTACAAAGTGTTCACAGGAACCACATACTCATGTTTTTTCCTAATTCGTTAATACTTTTATTGTCACTAATTTTATAATTTCTTAAAATAAAATCAATACTTTTTATAGCAAATAGTTGTTCGTTTATTTTGATACAAAAATCTAAATCATTAAGAATTTGGACAACTCTACCATGTAAAATATGATATAATAGAAAACGACATTCTCAGAGTAAATGGTCATAAGACAAAAACTTAAAATATAAGATTATACACTCACAGACAAAAATATTGCATATTTCGTGTTCTGTAACTGTTGTTGTTCTTTATTTACTTAAAAGTGTTTTACATATTTTTCATTTTATTACAGACAAAAGTTTAGAACGACAACTCCGCTGCTTTCTTATAATATCACTGCTTTTTTATCTATCTATCTTTTAAGTATTATCTAATATCATAAATTGTGTTTCAAGTTGTTTGTTTGTACAATGACTGATACAGACTGATCTACTATTTCTCTTCTTAGAAATCTTTAATTTGTCTTGTCAACGTATCAGTCGAAGGCGAGTTACGGAGGTCGGTTTAAATCCAAAATAGCCTGCATTAGTTTTTTGGCCACAATTCGCAACATGTAGTCTTACACACAGTCTTAATTTTGGAGAACTAATGCTTCGGTGGAGCATTATGATATGGAACATAATAAGTTATAAGGATCGCATACAGCTCCTTAAGGTCAATTTAAGAACCAGTGCTGACTGGTATAAATTATTCCACGAATATACGACTGTTTTGGATTATTGCGACAACGAATATTTTACTGTGAAAGTAGAAGTATGAAAGTAAATTGGTCTAGTTATTATTCCAATAAAAAGAATCTACTGTTAGTATAACTCAAATTATTTCAGTTAATAGATGTTCAAATAGACGCAAAATGTATTGAGAAATTTAATCCGAAAATAACAAAAAAATTTACGCAAACGCTCCTACAAATAAATAGAATGACGTCCATGAGCCAAATGTGTTCATCAGACATTTGGGTTGGGTTTCCGTTAAATGTCAACACCAAAGAGGCGTACCGGGTTTCTTTGATATTACATTATTTTATTACTTTATTAGGTACTACAACTGTAATAAAAAGAGATATACTATTTTTAATATAATTGAAAAGAAATTGGCAGAACGACGGTTCAGAAACCAGAAAAAGAACCTAATATTTCACTTTGTTAGTTTTAAATATTTGTTTGCTTTGAGTGGAGTGTAGGAGATTAGGGGAATAAGAGAATAATTAAGTTTTTTTGTTTTTTAATACTAATTGAATAGTCGACTAAATAAATTACACTATTTAATCACTTAAGGCTGTTTTAGCAGTTCAAGCACACTGCGATTTGAAATAGGCGTAAATCCCATCGAACATCTATAAGATAAGCTGAGAAAATATATGGACACAAAGTACAGCTCCTATTTCAATTGCACAATTAATAATTATAATTGTAATATAGGAGAAATGAAATCAAATTCAGAGAGAATTGATCAGATTTATTTTGCGTAGCATGTCTAGAAAAAAGAAGGCCATCATTAGAGTTGGAGGAAGAAATACTCATCATTATTGTGTTTTATTTAGACTTGTTTGATGTTTAACATTCATTAATGTTGACATAAATATTTCAGCCAGAAACAAGTGATTTTAATTAATTATTCCTCCTAGAATTTATTCTAAATGTAAAATCTGTAAGTTATTTGATTATTAATATCGTAAAACGCCCAGTGAATAATATTTAGCAATATAAATCAAAAATTTAAAGTAATCGACTTAAACAGAAAATAAAATAAGCAATATTTTTGTCCGTGAGTGTATTATAAAGCTGTAACTGAAAGCAACATTACTTCTATATCAAGCCTACTACATAAACCAGCAATATCCTTGATCTTTAAATAGAGTTAATATTGTAGTAGGTATGAAATAAGTAGTGAAAAACTAAAAATCATGGTAACAAAAACACGCAATACACTGACAAGCACAAACGGTACCACTATTGTAAGTCATTTTGAGTTCCTGGAGTCCAAGGTAAAATAACAGACAGAGATTAGTAATTAATTGCAAAGAATTAAAAGGTTAAATTGACCAAATTATGGAAATTGCATGAAATATCACATTTGATAAAGAACTGATACTCACAGGATTGGAAAAGCACATTTCCCGTTAACAACTCGTCCCATTTAGAAGTAAAAAATAACAAAATTGTTGTATAAAATTCAGATTTATGATATGGAATACATTCAGATGAAAAATCTACAGCTTCACAATTGTTTGTTCTCTAGCGAAAAGTATAGATCAACGATATTTTATTGTCAAAAATATTGACATATATATTGTCATATATATGACATACTGAGCGCACCTAAAAGTTATGTTGGCATTACTGATTATTTTATTACTGATGACGTGTATACTATAAACGCGCCAAAAGTTAGTGTAGTTTGTCCGTTACTATTGAGACCTATAAAACAAGAGAAGGATCAAGATCGAAGGCGACGTAGAAATTTGTGTACACTATTTTACCTGTTTGCTTGGTTTGTCGCTAGAGCGGCGCTGGTGTAGATACGGGTGCTAGGATTACATTGGAGTGAATGTGAAAATTTTGAAAATAATTATTTATTTATAGATTATTGGTTTTGGTGGATATTATTTAAATTTGAAAGCCAAGAAAGCTTATATCGGTACAACTTGCTTCGTAGCAAGATGTATAACGGGTTATCGTTTCGATAAAAAATTGGAAAGGTAAGTTAACCAAGTCTTTTTAAACACCATTATTTAAATTTGAAATTAAAAGCCTTAATTAAAAAATTAACATTAAACATTAAAAGCACAACCATTAATACAAATATCTTATTACACAGTACACTTGAGTCCTATTCCACCATAAACTTTATTTATGTGGAAATTATGTATAAACTTTGTAATATTTTGTTAACATCAGACAATATCTCAAACGTGAAACTGCGTTACCAGCTTGATATTCATATTTTGAAAGATTACTAAAAGTTTAATATTACTTCTAAAGAAAAACATAATATACCAGTGAGAAAGAAGCATCAGGCAACAGTATTTTTAATTGGATTTCATGATATGCGTAATAAAAAAAAACAGATTAAGTTTTCTTCATAATATATCCTGTGGAATTGGTTAGTTGAGTATACGCTTATACGCAGGGTGATTAATTTAGAATGTCAAATTTGAATTGTAGATTCTAGAACTTAAAATATGCTGATTCTGCCCAATATAGCTTACAAATACTACTAGTTTCTGAGATACCGAGTGTTTAAAATTTAAATATGGTTCACAATTTTCCATATAATGTATGATATTTTTTTACATTTCATATTTAAAATAATGTGCTTTAATGTTTTTTTGCATGATGAGTTACTAACTTTATTAGTAACAATTTAGCATTGCTTATAGTGGGCATGAGTTAAAACTATGATTAAGTAAATTTATCAAATAATTACTCTTGGTTGATTGGATTAACTATGCTCTGAATGCTGATTAAGCTGGGTATACAGTTTACTTTAATTGCTATCGATATTAAACTTATGTTTCCTCACTAGAGGCCTCTAATAGCATACTCTGGTAATTATTTTTACTATAATTGCCTTAGAGTCATGGTTATTCGATTTGGTTTGAGTCTTCTTATAAAAAATTGATAAATTTTAATTTTACAAATTTTATTCTCTAAATATTTAACAATAACAAATTAAAGTAATTAAAGTAAAAACAAAAAACTTTAATTAAACGTTTAAAATGTCCACCTTTACTTCAATACACTTTATGATCCGGTTTAGCAAAGACCTCTTATATCAAATAACCCTTGTCTATTATTTTTAATCAAACTTACGGCTCTTCTATTTTTTGTCGCAATTCTAAAAGCCAATTAATTCTTGTTTTGTAAACTAATGTCATTTGCAAACAATTTGAAAAATCCAAAGAATTGAAATCAGGACTTCTTGGTGGCCAAGCAAACTCACTTCCACCACCAATCGATCGATGCGAAAACTGTTGGTTTAAGTATTGACGAACTGTAGTTTTGAAGTTTTTAAACAGACAGCGCACCTACCGACGCGATATTCAAATCACTAACTCCGGTAATATTGCTCGAATTTACTTCAAATTTGGTGTGACTACTCTTGAAGTACTATACTTTCATATGGAATAAATGGAAAAAAATTACTCAATTTTTTGAAAATAATAAGAACCCCCTTAATTTGAATAAATGAACTTAAATAAAATTGTAAATTCATTAAGAAAGTTTTCCCCAAATATAGTTAATTATCAGCTCTGTTGAATACAATTTAAAATTTGGACTAAACATGGCCTCGTATTATAGTCTGTGGCTTTGTCTAAAAGTATGTATGGATAATTTTGTTTTTGTAATAAGTGCAACATGGCATTGTATGTTGGTGCATGCTGAATTATAGTATAGTTCATTCGGGAATATTTTGACAGATTAATTGTCAGAAATATACAAACAAAATTTCATTGAAAAAAGAATTATAATCAAGATTTAAAATTAATTATTAATTAATGACAATTAATTACATGAATATCGATATGGCAGATAAGCACGGTATAATTGTGCTAAATTAGTAAAAGACAGTGTAGTTGTAAAAGGCATGTCGTGGAATGCAAATTTTAGATTCCCCATGTTCCTTTTAACATCTTTTATCAACGTCTGTTTGTCTTGCAATTTTTAGAAGGCTCAGATTATAAGCAGAAATCTGAATTGTGTTTCGAAACTATTTTACGGATTTTATAATTAGATGTCGCTATCGCGTCCGTATTGAAGCCATTTTATTGTTGCTTCTTAAAAGACAGAAAATATTGATTTTTCACGTTGAGAAACACCTATGAATAACTGTTCTGATGAGACCTATTAGGTCGAAATACGTATCAACAGATACATAGGAGTTGTTTGCGTGAAATCAAATATTTGCTGTCTTTTTCATTTTGTAAAACTAATACTTATTAGAGCCGAAAAACTTAACTATATTTAAATACTACGTTGGATACAAAATTTTGATTTTATCTAGATCATATGAAACCCTCATAAAAATGTAAACTATTGAGTTCGTAATTTGTCCCTCATTCACTAAAATTTTGGATATTCAACGGATATGGTGGAATAGAACTCGATTACAATAAACTTACACAATATCCTTATTTAATATTTAACCCATCACTTTGTGAACACTTTGCATTAAAAAAATAAATAAAATTACTAACTAAAGGTTAAGCATGGTTGTTATCTTAAAATTAAAAGTAGATTTTTTTGAAGAATTGGTTGCCTAATTCTAGAAGGGAATATTGGCGTATCCATATCACGATTTACCCTTTTCCTACAAGCGACTAAACATAAAATTATGTATTTAAATTATGTACAATGTACTCCCATTGCAGTTTGAATTGTTATTTCGTTAAAAAAACGTATTGTTTTTATGGCAAAAATATGACAATAAGTAAATATTATTCTGAAGCTATTTTCTTGTAGCATTTTAATACAATTTACTATTTTTATTGGGAATTACGCACTGTTTTTGGGGGAAGGTGTATTATTTCACGTTTTAAATCAAATGTCATGTCAAGTTCGTGTGGGACCCACCAAACTTTGGTGACATAAAACGTGACACAAAACGCGACATATAACGTGACATTTAACATATTACGTGACATAATACACTCCTCTATCAAAAAATGGGGTCATGGTAGACTGAAGTGGCTTCCTATCTACTAATAGTGATCGTAGAATTAAAAAGAAATATCACTGGCTATATTATTTTAGATATTTATTGTATTTAATCATGTAAATTCTATATTTTTATTCTTAGGACCTTATTTATTCTATTGTAGAATCCAGATAGAAACATTGAAGAAAAAGAGAACGACTATAAACAAGTGCGTACAAATCCTCGATTTATAGAAAAGTACTGCCCTAACAAAGATACCACTACTTAGGTACCAAATATTTTAGAATAGCATAAATAGTAGAAGCACATTGTACAAATTCAAATGAGTCTGGTAATAGTATATCACGACATATGCAACTACAAATGGTATGGGTAACATAACACTTAAAACGTGACAAAAGCAAATAAGAACACATTTTTTTAAAACTGTTCTTTATTAAGTCATAAATAGTTTCAAGCAATATACTTAATTTGATCATTAAACCGGAAAATAATAATAATAAAATTGTGATCAATCAAAATCGGGTTGTGATTTTGAAAAAAAAAAATGTTTTACTCAGGAAATTCCGGAGTTACCGGAATTTCCCGACCAACGATACGATCGAATGGGATCATTTCGCAGGCATTCATTAGTTGGGTTGTCTGCCAGATGTTAGTTACAGCTAAGTATTAGTGTTATCTGTTAATAGATTAACAAACTGTTTCACTGCGGCTAAAGTGGATCCTTCAAAAATCTGCTCGCTGAATCTTCATCATAATTGACGTATTGATACCATTGCTGATGATGACCATAATTGATACTATTATGTTTAGAACATTAATATAATTATAAAGGTAAGTTTTCACCAAATCTCGTGAAAAGTAAAATATGTGGAAGATAAAATAAAAAACCAAAAAATCGAATTTTTCGCATAAATTGTGAGGTTATGTGAAAAAAGTGTAAATATAAAAGTTGAAGATCTTTTTATTGCCTACAACTTTGCCATTTAACTTTTTTCGATAGGACTTAAAATTCCGGAAATCGTAATAAACCGTTTTTAATCCTAAAAAACTCATCCCCTTTCACTTTCCGACCTCAAGTCGCCGAAAAATTATTTTTCCTTTTACTTTTGATATATTTTCTTCCTTCTAAAATCAAGCTACTATTTTTTGGTATCAAAAATTATTGGCCCTGGCATAATATAAATAGAGAGTAAGAATTGAATCAACGCTACTAAACTAAATATGTGTTTCAAGTGTTACTTTACCCTGATAAAATATGGACTAGATGTGTTTACTACAAGAGCGAATTTACGTTTAATAATTAACATAATAAAATTGTGTGTACACAACGAAAGAAAACGTTTTTCCTTAGCTTTCTATAAAATAATTTACTAAAAATTGCAACAAAAGGTTTTACGTTAACCGTCCATCATCTGAAGAAGTTACAATTTGGTGAAATATGATATATATTATTAAGTGAAATCCAGTGGTAATTTCCCGAAAATATAGTTTAAATTTATCTATTTTATATATACTATCATCAAGTAAAGAGTATTAGTATTATTTTTAAACCTTTAAAAATCACTTTTTTATAACTTTTTAAAGTTGAGAGATGTTAAAAATATTAAAACAAAAACGACAATTCCACATAGATGTCCTATTTACACGAGCACAAAGAAATTTTGTAAATAAATCCAGTTGAAGGAAACTAAGAGGAGCAGAAAGCTGGCTTTAGCAGAATTTGTAAAGCTCTTAAAAATACAGTAGACTCCCGTAAGTTCGGCTTCGGTCTCCGCTTAGTCCGGCTCTCTGCTTTAAACTGCTTTAAAATGAGTTATTAAACGCGTAAACGTAAGTACATATCAATGGAATAGAGACTACAAGCTTGAAAATTGGACAAAAGCAATCCGTCAAAATTTGCAGAGATTAAACGTGACAAAAGTACAATTAACGACTGACGACGCAATAGAAAAACTATCGAAGGCTTTTGGACACATATTGAAACTGAAAATGTTTTACAAAAGCGTTGCACACTGAGAAAAGCAAAACACGAATTGGTGGAAGGTGCTCTGTGGTTGTAGTTCGTTCAAGAACGAAGACGAGGAACAAAATTTTGTCTGTGTCGTCCTTCAACGTCGTTCATTGCATCGACCTACAGTATCAACATTATCTAATGTAAATGTGACACTTTACCAACTCAAACATGGAAGTCTTATAGACACCATATTTATATATTAGCAACAAATACTAGGCACTGAAGATGTATCCGTAGTGATCGAAAACGTTCTGCCAGAACTTTAAATGTGACGACACTTTTTTAAAAGTTTTAACTTGTTTGTTTTATACTAAATACACATTTTGTGACGTGTTTTAACTTCTGTGTTTTTTAAACGATGGTATACAGCCAATTACGGGGTTTTTCCCATTAATTTTGAAGATGAAGGAAATAAAATGAGCCACGCTGAAGGCAAAGCAGCTTTGCAACTGGCAGTTACCTTCGTCGAACAGCAAAAAGAAGCAACTGCCATCGACGTAATGATTATTAAAAAGGGGCGTGACTTTACACATCAAAAATCATTAGAAAACAAAATTCAGAAAAAAATTACTGACTTTTTTTAAGTGTTTAAGAAGCCACACCACCAATGTGCAATAATGTTTCTAATTTTATTAGGCCTAGAGATCTCTAAGTATTGTTTTATAGCATTTTTGTAATGGTCAATCTTTTCATATGGGTTAAACATATGTCAGAGTATTTCACTGTATTGTCTTCTACTTACTGTACAAGTGTTTTGTTTTTGCTAGATCCATACAAACAATAAATGGGCATTTTTAGATAAGCAAATTTCAGCCTAAGGTCCGGTCCCGAGGTGGCCGAAGTTACGGGAGTCTACTGTATATAAAAGGTACTTTCAGTACTTCAGTTTCGGCGTAAAATTAGAGTCTTCAATTACATTCTTTCAGCTCTAACGAAATACAAATATCTGAGCTTTGTACAAGAGCTACACAATGTAAAATTTGTCTCAATGGAAGTTCTTGGAAATGCTGAACGTATCAAAAACGATTGACATACAAAAATATTCTACAAAAGGGACCATGGAAAAAGACATAAGACATCTAAACTACAAGATGATAAGATAACCTCAAGCAAGACCCGTGCTGAACAAAAATGTATGCAAATTGTTTAGAATAAAGAGGAAAACTCTTCGTACAATACGAATATTTATGGATGAACGAAAATACTGAAAAGTTAATAACCATTATTTTCGCAGAATTTAAGTTTCTGCTCTTCTTCTCAATCCAATTTTCTTAGAATGAAGCATGAACGTGAACTTAAACAGATATACACAAGTGTAGAGTGGATTGTTGACCATACATGACTGATTAAGACATAAATTGTACAAAAAGGAGTTGGAAACCGTAAAATTATCTCATTTTTTAAATTGAAATGAATGTAGTTTCCGTTATTGATTTCACAAAAACTGTAATACTTTCTTGTAAGTACACAACGTAATAGACAATTTGTAGTTGAATTTAAGTGATAAATTAATAAAACAAGATGATGATTGCACCGCATGTATAACATCGGTAAAAAATCAATCTGTAAAGTTTTTCAAAAAATTACATAAATCCGCCCTTTTCTAGCCACGCGAAAACAGAAAATATCAAACATATAATAAATTAAAATTAATTTGTTAAACCACCACACATCTTATCGCAATCAACTGTTTTTTTGATTATTTATTTACACTATATTTATGTGACGTAATATGTAGTATTCTTTTTTTACTCTGCTTTCAATCTTCTGGAGAATTCTTCTTGCTGCCTCTCCTTCCATTCTTTCTTTGCTTTCACTCTCTTCAATCCTCCATCCCTAAAATATTTATTATTAGTAAGGAAGTAACAGATATACATCAAGCATTTTCTACTATAGTAATTTGTTTTTTATATTTTATAGAATTGATACTGTTATTTATAGTTATTCGTCTTCGGGTTTGGACCGTGTCATTTGTGAGTGACCCAAAAGTGGGTTCATCTCGACGTTTCGCTACAATTGTATGTAGCTTCTTCAGGAGAACAAAAAAGAAAAAGAAAAAGAAGAAACAAAAGACAGGAAGATGGGTAGTTAGCAACGGTAACTCAGTTACTCAACGCAACCAGAGGCGAATACTAACTACCAAGATGGGCATTTGGTCACAGTAACTCAACTATCAACGCAGCCAGAGGTGAAAACAAATGCCAGGACAGGGATTCACGTCCAACAGCTCAGAACTCTAACGCGTCGAGAGGCGGGGTAGTGAATCCTCCATCTTGGTAGTTAGTATTCGCCTCTGGTTGCGTTGAGTAACTGAGTTACCGTTGCTAACTACCCATCTTCCTGTTCTTTTGTTTTCTTCTTTCTTTCTTTTCCTTTTTTGTTCTCCTGAAGAAGCTATATACAATTGTAGCGAAACGTCGAGTTGAACCACTTTTGGGTCACTCACAAATGACACGGTCCAAACCGGAAGACGAATAAACTATAATTCTGACTCTGGCCGTGGAGCCTACGTTTCATTACTGTTATGTTTGAAAAACTCAAATCCCGAGTCATCTTGTCAAAGACACTATTAGTAAATTTTCGAGAAGTGTTTAGATAAATATTCATTAAGTTTAAATTGGTGATTTTAATAATCGATAGTGCTAAGCAAAAAGGAGCAGATAAATGCTAGACAGGTGGTTTATCTCGGACGCAATTTGGTTTTTGTAAAGGAAAGCACGATTGATGCAATCGTGAGTGTACTCGAAGCATTGCGCAACACAGGGGATGAACATCGATGGGCGGCCCTGTTGTTGTTTGATGTTAAGAATGCATTCAATACGCTGCAGTGGAACGAGGTAACGAAGGCAATGGAGGAGACAGAATATCCTGGTCACCTGATGAATTTGGTGGCGGAGTACCTGTCCTAGAGAAGGATTATGGTGGAAAAGGGCACGATCGTGGACGTGACGGCCGGGGTCACTCAGGGATCTGTCTTGGGCCTGACGCTATGGAACCTGGCATATGACGGGGTTATGAATTGTGAATATTTAGAGGGTACATCCCCCTTTCGCATATGTAGTGGTCCGGAATGAGCCAGATCTCAAATACTGGGTTTGGAACGCAGACCGCAGATCGTAAGAAATGGATGATGCAGCACGGACTAAAACTTGCTGCAGAGAAAACCGAAGCCATCATTCTGAAAAGGAACAGGCAAAGTGTTGAATTACAAATGTGTAGGAGCATGTCTAACACCGAAGAAACACGTAAAGTACCTAGAAGTGACATTGCACCAGAATGGAAAATGGGGGGGAGCACGTGTGGGAGGTGGCCCGGAAGGCTGTGAATAGTGCGACTACGTTGAGAAGTTCTTACACGGTGTTGTACAGTCGATCGTCCTCTACGAGGCACTAGCTGGAGCGGCGGTAAAGATAACGGCCTATAGGAGGTTCATGACACGAATGGACAGAACAAGTCTGTTGCGAGTGGCATGTACCTACAGGACTGTGTCTGCGGCAGCCTTGCGGACCATCACTGATGTGTTTTGTTGCATGTTTTGGCGGTGGGAAGAAAAGAGCTCTATAAGAGACGAGGCCCAAACTTTACTATGGCAGAGAGAAGACAGAAAAGGATAGATCAATTGAAAGATGGCAAGAAGAATGGAACAACACGGAGTATGTGGCACAGTGAACGAAAATGCTGATCCCGAACATAAGAGATTGGATGGACTGTGACCACAGCCGACTGGATTATTTCCTGACGCAGGTGCTCACAGGACATGAGTGTTTTAGGACCTATCTCTCTAGGTTCGGAAAGGCTGACACAGATGAATGCCTATACTGTGGACACTGTGACACATACGATGTTAGATTGCAACAGATGGATAGTAGAAAGGAACAGAATGGAAAGAGAGAAGGTGTGAATTTTGTTACAGTGAAAGAAATGATTTGAGAGATTGATTGAAAATATAGCAGGTTAGATTGGTGTAGGAAGACCACCTAAAATATGGAGGGATAGTTTGGCAATCTACCTCCCCAAGAAATTAACCAGAGGCAGCTTCAGAATTAAACAGATCGATAAGATCTACAGAAAAGTAGAAGAAGAAGAAGATTATTGTACACAACTATATCCGTGCAGTAATCAAGAAAAAAGAAGAGAAAGAAAGACAGCTGGACCAACGGCAAAGGTAAGACGGAAAAATACTGGAAGTTGAAGCTAGAAAAGTGGGTCAGACTGTATGAGTTAGAATGCATGAGTCAGACTGTGGGGAAGGAGGAAATGCCGGTCTGGAGTGATACCGTACTAGGAGCGAAGAGGGTCTTCTACGCGCTACCTGAAACGAGACAGGGAACCTCCTGTCTCTGTGAATGGATGTGGAAGTGGATGAATGGAGAATGAATTAATGAAGGTAGTGCTTCGCAAGTGATGCAGCCTTACAGCGGCCATTCCGCTTCCGGATCGCTGGATGACAGAGGAGGATTTGGTTTAGCAGGTAGGCGTTCGGCATATACTCGGCGACGAGAAGGCATTTTAAAGTATCTCGGGAACTATCGCCGGAGTACGAAGAACGAATCCTGCACTAACTCAGTCATGTAAACGTAAACGCGTCCTGGTCTGAGATGTCGTTTGAAGATTCCAGACCCCCTCTATAAAGACGAAGAAAAAATTGGGTTTAAAGGGTAATTGACAGAAAATATGATTAACATGTAAAGAAAAAATCGAAAAAATCGAGAAAGAGAGAATTTGGAAAGGAGATTTGGAAGGGTAGAAGATCAAATGGCAGAAGAAAAATTGAGCGGCAATGACATAAAAACAAAAATTAACAAATTTGAAATAATACAATAAATGAATCAAGCTAGAAAAACGATCATCACAGTATGGAGACAGGTACCAATACTAAAATAGCACCAATAATTACAAATGATGCCAACAAGGAAAACACTGACGCTTTAGAGACAACTAAAACAATATATAATTCCTAGAATGTGCATTAATGATCCAGGCTTCTGCGTTCAGAGTTGAACATAGGCCTTCCCTTATTTTTTCCAGTTCTGTCGGTCTTGAGCTTCCGCAACCAATTCCCAGCTATTCTTTTGACGTCGTCTGTCTATCGTGTAGGTGGTCTACCTCTGTACTTTTGTCTTCTCGTGGTCTCCGCACTGTAAATTTTTGGGTCCACCACCCGTTATTCATTCTAGCCACAAAGCCCGCCCAGTTCCACTTCAGCCATGCTATGCGCTCTTTGACATCTGTGACGCCTGTCCTTTTTCGTATTTCTTCGTTTCTAACACTGTCTCTGAGTGTCAGTCCAAGTAGCGAGCGTTCTCTTCTTCTTTGAGCTACTGTGAATTGCATTGTTGTAACCTGGTTACGGAAAGTGTTTCAGCATCGTAAGTCATGACTGGAAGCACACATTGATCGAATGTCTTCTTTTTCAAATAATTTGACATGTTGCTCTTGACGATGTCTGATAGAACTCCATTGCGGCTCATGCTAAAGTGATTCTTCTTTGAAGTTCAGCAGCTTGGTTGTCCCTGGCAAATCGGATTCCATGACCAATTCCATTGACCATTTGAAGTATTTATATTTATGAACTAATCCTATTTCGTTGCAGTCAACTTTTTAGATTTTCGCTTGGTACCAGATTTGTTATGTATTGTGTCTTTCCAAAATTTATCTTAAAATCAACTTCGTTACAGGCGGAATTTAATTCAGAAAGCATAATTCCAATCTCTTTTAAGTTGTCTGTTATCAGAACAATGTCGTCCGAAAATCGTAGATGGGAGAGTATTTCGCCATCAACACTGATTCCTTTGGCTTCCCACTCGTTTTAAAAAGCATGTTCCAGAACTGCCGTAAAGAGTTTGAGAGATAAAGTGTTCTCATAATTGATTCCCCTTTTGATTTTTATAATTTTTTTTATGCGTAAAATTAGTTTCGAACACAATTCAGATTCTGCTTTTATCTGTGCTTTCTAAAAATTGCAAAGCAAAACAGACGTTGATAAAGGTGTTAAAAGAGACGTGGGGAATCTAAAATTTGCATTCCACGACACATCTTTTCAACTAAGCAGAAATCCTTAGCGAATTGGTTTCTTGTACTCGTACAGAGTAAATCCGAAAAAAGTGAAAAAGACAGCAAATATTTGATTTCACGCAAACAGCGCCTTTGTATCTGTTGATACGTATTTCGACCTAATAGGTCTCATCAGAACAGTTATTCAAAGGTGTTCTCAACGTGAAAGATCAATATTCTCTGTCTTTTAAGAAGCAACAATAACATGGCTTCGAATACGGACGCACTAGCGACATCTAATTTAACAATCGTAAAATAGTTTCGAAACACAATTCAGATTTCTGCTTTTATCTGTGCTTTCTAAAAATTGCAAAGCAAAACAGACGTTGATAAAGGTGTTAAAAGAGACGTGGGGAATCTAAAATTTGCATTCCACGACACATCTTTTCAACTAAGCAGAAATCCTTAGCGAATTGGTTTCGAAACTATTTTACGATTGTTAAATTAGATGTCGCTAGTGCGTCCGTATTCGAAGCCATGTTATTGTTGCTTCTTAAAAGACAGAGAATATTGATCTTTCACGTTGAGAACACCTTTGAATAACTGTTCTGATGAGACCTATTAGGTCGAAATACGTATCAACAGATACAAAGGCGCTGTTTGCGTGAAATCAAATATTTGCTGTCTTTTTCACTTTTTTCGGATTTACTCTGTACGAGTACAAGAAACCAATTCGCTAAGGATTTCTGCTTAGTTGAAAAGATGTGTCGTGGAATGCAAATTTTAGATTCCCCACGTCTCTTTTAACACCTTTATCAACGTCTGTTTTGCTTTGCAATTTTTAGAAAGCACAGATAAAAGCAGAAATCTGAATTGTGTTTCGAAACTATTTTACGATTGTTAAATTAGATGTCGCTAGTGCGTCCGTATTCGAAGCCATGTTATTGTTGCTTCTTAAAAGACAGAGAATATTGATCTTTCACGTTGAGAACACCTTTGAATAACTGTTCTGATGAGACCTATTAGGTCGAAATACGTATCAACAGATACAAAGGCGCTGTTTGCGTGAAATCAAATATTTGCTGTCTTTTTCACTTTTTTCGGATTTACTCTGTACGAGTACAAGAAACCAATTCGCTAAGGATTTCTGCTTAGTTGAAAAGATGTGTCGTGGAATGCAAATTTTAGATTCCCCACGTCTCTTTTAACACCTTTATCAACGTCTGTTTGCTTTGCAATTTTTAGAAAGCACAGATAAAAGCAGAAATCTGAATTGTGTTTCGAAACTATTTTACGATTGTTAATTAGATGTCGCTAGTGCGTCCGTATTCGAAGCCATGTTATTGTTGCTTCTTAAAAGACAGAGAATATTGATCTTTCACGTTGAGAACACCTTTGAATAACTGTTCTGATGAGACCTATTAGGTCGAAATACGTATCAACAGATACAAAGGCGCTGTTTGCGTGAAATCAAATATTTGCTGTCTTTTTCACTTTTTTCGGATTTACTCTGTACGAGTACAAGAAACCAATTCGCTAAGGATTTCTGCTTAGTTGAAAAGATGTGTCGTGGAATGCAAATTTTAGATTCCCACGTCTCTTTTAACACCTTTATCAACGTCTGTTTTGCTTTGCAATTTTTAGAAAGCACAGATAAAAGCAGAAATCTGAATTGTGTTTCGAAACTATTTTACGATTGTTAAATTAGATGTCGCTAGTGCGTCCGTATTCGAAGCCATGTTATTGTTGCTTCTTAAAAGACAGAGAATATTGATCTTTCACGTTGAGAACACCTTTGAATAACTGTTCTGATGAGACCTATTAGGTCGAAATACGTATCAACAGATACAAAGGCGCTGTTTGCGTGAAATCAAATATTTGCTGTCTTTTTCACTTTTTTCGGATTTACTCTGTACGAGTACAAGAAACCAATTCGCTAAGGATTTCTGCTTAGTTGAAAAGATGTGTCGTGGAATGCAAATTTTAGATTCCCACGTCTCTTTTAACACCTTTATCAACGTCTGTTTTGCTTTGCAATTTTTAGAAAGCACAGATAAAAGCAGAAATCTGAATTGTGTTTCGAAACTATTTTACGATTGTTAAATTAGATGTCGCTAGTGCGTCCGTATTCGAAGCCATGTTATTGTTGCTTCTTAAAAGACAGAGAATATTGATCTTTCACGTTGAGAACACCTTTGAATAACTGTTCTGATGAGACCTATTAGGTCGAAATACGTATCAACAGATACAAAGGCGCTGTTTGCGTGAAATCAAATATTTGCTGTCTTTTTCACTTTTTTCGGATTTACTCTGTACGAGTACAAGAAACCAATTCGCTAAGGATTTCTGCTTAGTTGAAAAGATGTGTCGTGGAATGCAAATTTTAGATTCCCCACGTCTCTTTTAACACCTTTATCAACGTCTGTTTTGCTTTGCAATTTTTAGAAAGCACAGATAAAAGCAGAAATCTGAATTGTGTTTCGAAACTATTTTACGATTGTTAAATTAGATGTCGCTAGTGCGTCCGTATTCGAAGCCATGTTATTGTTGCTTCTTAAAAGACAGAGAATATTGATCTTTCACGTTGAGAACACCTTTGAATAACTGTTCTGATGAGACCTATTAGGTCGAAATACGTATCAACAGATACAAAGGCGCTGTTTGCGTGAAATCAAATATTTGCTGTCTTTTTCACTTTTTTCGGATTTACTCTGTACGAGTACAAGAAACCAATTCGCTAAGGATTTCTGCTTAGTTGAAAAGATGTGTCGTGGAATGCAAATTTTAGATTCCCCACGTCTCTTTTAACACCTTTATCAACGTCTGTTTTGCTTTGCAATTTTTAGAAAGCACAGATAAAAGCAGAAATCTGAATTGTGTTTCGAAACTATTTTACGATTGTTAAATTAGATGTCGCTAGTGCGTCCGTATTCGAAGCCATGTTATTGTTGCTTCTTAAAAGACAGAAAATATTGATCTTTCACGTTGAGAACACCTTTGAATAACTGTTCTGATGAGACCTATTAGGTCGAAATACGTATCAACAGATACAAAGGCGCTGTTTGCGTGAAATCAAATATTTGCTGTCTTTTTCACTTTTTTCGGATTTACTCTGTACGAGTACAAGAAACCAATTCGCTAAGGATTTCTGCTTAGTTGAAAAGATGTGTCGTGGAATGCAAATTTTAGATTCCCCACGTCTCTTTTAACACCTTTATCAACGTCTGTTTTGCTTTGCAATTTTTAGAAAGCACAGATAAAAGCAGAAATCTGAATTGTGTTTCGAAACTATTTTACGATTGTTAAATTAGATGTCGCTAGTGCGTCCGTATTCGAAGCCATGTTATTGTTGCTTCTTAAAAGACAGAGAATATTGATCTTTCACGTTGAGAACACCTTTGAATAACTGTTCTGATGAGACCTATTAGGTCGAAATACGTATCAACAGATACAAAGGCGCTGTTTGCGTGAAATCAAATATTTGCTGTCTTTTTCACAATTTTTTTATCTTTGTGTAGTTTTACGGTCATGGTTGCATTGTTATATAATATATATGTATATATATATATATATTATATATATATATATATATATATATATATATATTATATATACGGAAAAGAAATAATTTGTCCGTTGCGAATGTGGAGAAAAATAAAGATGAAAAGATAAACCATGGAAGTGAGGGTCTCGAATGGAATTGAAACGCAACCGTCTATGTTTTTACTAACCTGTTCTTCACCGTTCAAGGCTTTTATTGCCTTCGCTTCCTTCAAATATGTTCAACCGAAGAAAATAATAATAAATGATGATTCTACTTACCAGACTAGATCTACTAATCCTCCCTGTTTTGCTATCACACTCTTTACCCTGTTTGCAAAATCTATAGCTGATTCATTTTCTCTTTGGTACATCGGAGGTAAATACCAAACATCACATACTATTGCCCAGCTGGTCATCATCATATACAAGTATTGTACCATGGAATATCTACAATACGAATTTTTTATACAATATCAGCACAAGGTTTTAACATCGCTTAGTACCTTATAAAATGTACTAAAATGATACATGTAAATATATCCAGACAGAACAAGAGAACGACTAAAGGTCGATTCAAACACGTCAGTCCCGGCGCCGAACCGGTTCTGTTTTGTCACAGAACTATTAATTATCTGACAGCTGGGAAACTGTTCGTCAACTGATGAATGTGAATGCCGCGGCATATTTCTATTAAAGAATATATTTTGTATGACGGATCGTTCGGTTCAGCGCCGGGACTGTGACGAGACGCGACTGATGTGTTTGAATCGACCTTTAGTAGATAATAATAAAATATACTGTGTCTACTGTTATGAAAGTACCCTTAGTCGCTATTAGAATAGGCAACTGGTGGTGCCACCAAGTTGCTCCACCAGTGATTCAGTACGTCACGGCGCATTTAAGTAAGTGGGACCTACTAGACTACGGCAACTGGTTGCGCAACCAAAATTGTTGTTCTGGTGACCGAATCCGGCCACTAGACGGGTAACATGATCTGGTGGCGCCACCGAGCTGGGGCATTATGTTAGTGTACGCCTACATTGGAACCGTATTTCTCCCGATCCGATATCTGGCGACGTCGGCCGACGTCGGATTAAAAACAAACTATTAAGGTATTAAATCAGAGTGCCTATACTGCTTCGTCATGGAAGCAGTATAGGCACTATGATGACATTTACATTTAGTGATGACATTTTTAAACCAAATACAACTTAATAAGAAAATTAGTTTAGTGTGGCAACATAAATTTTGTCACATGTCTGTGCGTTTTTTGTTCCAACATACAATCTGACAGGATCAAGTTGGCAAGTGACATAATTTTGACATTAATCAAAAAGTATCCAAGAATACGCCACGTTTTCATTATTCACAAATTCACATGTACTAAGTAGTTTGTATAAAGTTACTAAATATAATTCTATTTACTTACACAAAAATAATTTACAGTCCATAACAGGTTAATATTATTTACCGTAAGATAATCCAACATTTAGGATCGAAGAAAGCTGGCCATATTCAATGCATTATCTTCTTATTATTTCGAAACTACTTTGTTATTCTTCTTTGGTCAATCCTATTGATCCATATCGGTTTATTTTTGATAGTTACCTACTTTTGGTTGTTGAATATTTTATTTTGAATGCATCGAACATAATTTTCATGTAAAAATATCTCGCTATTATTATTTCTTCGATGCATCTTGCTGATTTAGACGAAATGAAGAAGATATCCATTCGTATATGGGTGATTAATGCAATAACTTTCAATCAGTCAATGCCTACTGCACTCTGGATTATATAAAATCAAACCTATTACCATGACATTCGCCGTTATTTGCGACATTCTACTTTAACCAAAGTATTATTATTATTTTCATTTTGGTAAATACTTTTCAATGCTAAACAAACTAGGAAATGACTTTTGATACATTCCTTTTTTCTTATCATCAATTATGTGAACTTAATGATGAAAGGAGAAAACATTTTCTCTTTGATCTTCCGGGATTTTGCAACTGAAATGTTTTTTATATTAACTACATCCAAAAGACCAAATATAAAGGTCTAGCTATCCTTGAGTTAAGAGTTGGAGAGCGAGTAAAAAATACATATTGTATATCATCATGCAATTTTTAAAACATTTCATTGAACAACTAAAAAGTAAACTGATGTTAGTATATAGTTATCAACAGAATTTATCTATTGCAAACAAACCAGCTCTCATTAATCTTTCTTGCTGCTATAGCTGTTCTTTTGTAATTTACATAAGCCTTACCTCCAAATCAAACTTTCTTGATAACATTTCGTTTGCAATTTTTCTCATTTTATTCCTCGTTTCCTGTGTATTGAAATTTCAGTTGATCTTTCTAATTGAGTATGGTCGAAATCACTTATTTTTGAAAGAACATACACTTTTATGAACAATGTACGCTTGAAAACAGCAATATATGACAATACCTATAATAAAAATATTATTCTACTTAACGCCCAGCCCAGACGTATAACTATAAAAATGGCAGTGAGATAGAAAAAGTCCAGGAATATATCTATCTATGCTAAATTGTGAAACCTAACAAAGTGCGCAAAGTACTTAAGAACCGCAAAATACCTTAATACTTAAGGAGCAAAAGTTCAAACTGTGCATCCTTCCTATCATGATACCCTAACCAAGACAAATATGAATAAACTAGCCACAACAGAAAGGGCAATGGAAAAAGCAGAGTTAGGTATAAGACTGTCAGATAAAAAGAGGAACGACTGGGTAAGATCAAAAACAAAAGTTGAGGATATCACAACAAAAATTGCCAAACTCTAATGGATCTTCGCAGATCATACTGCTAGACAAAAAGACCACGTTGGAAGGCCCCAATACAACATTGGAGACCTTACAATGTAACGATATTATTTTGCCTACCACAGGGGGCATTAATACAGGGGATAGAAAATTGGGGGAAGAAACTAAAGGGGTGGAGATAAGGCAAGCAAAATAATCGCTACTTGTGCGAACGGACACTCAGGGTTTCGTAGGAGAGCTGGGGTCGTGGATAAGTAAAATGGGGGTTAGAATGGGGCAACTACAACAAAAAGAAATAAAGGGCTTTTGGGATAAACAGAATAAAAATAAACAAGAAAACACCTCAAGAAATTTGATTATAGGGCGCCACTTGAGGTGCCTAATTATGCCTATTACAACCACTAGTTGTAACTAGGGAAATAATTAGAAAATAAAATCAAAACATATCTTTTTCAAATAAAAATCAATAAAGGTTAGCTCAAAAAAAATAAATAAAAAGTTAAGACAACAAAATTTAACATTTATTTATGTCACCACAAACAGTTATACAAAATATAAAATTATGCAAAATATATATAATTAGTTACAAATACATAAAGACTATATTAATAGCCACAAACGTAGATATAGAAAGAAACAAAGAAAAACTGACATGTGTCCTATTTTTGTTTACAAGTGGACATAAGTGTCAAAGAAAAAATTATTACAAGTAACGAATTTTCTTTTAATGAAACTATTCATAAAGAAATTAACCTTCTTAAAAAAAAACGAAATAAATTTTATTACAGATTCTTAAATTTTAAACGAAAGCAATTATTGTTATTTGAACAAAAAAAGTCTATTTGAAAATTATACACAAAATGTTACCTTTAATTCATATAAAATTTTGCACTGAAACTTGTGAGGATTAAACGAGAATTTACTGGAACCCTCTGCTATACAGAAGGACTGCTTCAAACTGGACTGGAAAGACTACCAGAGACAAATAAAAATGAGGTTGGAACCAAATCAACGGCACATTGTGGGCACATTCTATACGCTTCTTATATTTTCCATATTCATATTCTGGTATACTGCACAAATCCCGTAAATATTTAACAAAATATTTAGTGGCTACTCTTTCTTAATCTGTCATATTACAGAGAGTAATTTCCACATCTTGCCGGTCTTGACCACTTAAACCATTATACAAAATTGTCGGTTCTGCTGCCCACACGTCCAACTTCAACTTCACTATTTCTAATAACAAAAATGCAATAACGAATTAAAAGAAAATCCGGACTAAACAATGAAACCGACTGACTTTGGCAGCGATTCCACCGAGAGTGACGAAATTAAAAATTTGTTCGCTTAACTTGAAAATCAACGAACTGCTGAAATAGCAAAACCAACGAACGACGTAGATATCCTTTGAAACGCATTTACATGAAAAGAAATCGCCGCAGTAAAATAAACAACAATTAAATGGATTTATTACTCTACGACGTTAGAATGATTGAAAACACTTTTCGAAAGATACGAACTAAAAAACAGAAAACATTCTTCGTTTTATTAAGACGATTTCATATACGAGGCGACTTTAAATATACTTCAAAGAATCAATCAAATTTAAAATGCTACAATACCCCCACGTAAGAGCGAAAACTGGACTAACAGGAAAAGTTTTCGTTTAGGGCGAACAACAATCAGGTTGGAACAACAGTAGCATTTTTTAACTACTGCAACAACACATAATGACTTCAATAACTCAAACAGAACAAAAAACAACAAACAAAAATCATAACCAAAACTACACATCATAACTGTTTATGGTTCTAACATAATAACATACAAAATAAAACTGGATGCTCAATTTGACGAATCGGCACCAGGTACAGTTCGTTGGCTCTTAAGCACAACGACACAATGGCAGATTTCTACTAAAATGGCTCTAGCCTAACCAAAAACGTGGAACAGACCAGTGTTGAAGTTTCTGGGAGCGAAAAGAGGGGTGCTTCCAGCTCAACAAAGGCGGGTGGCCAACAACACAGCTTAGACAAGCTTCGCTATGGTTATCCACATAATAGATAACCAAAACAATATCAAACAATAACAAACTTGACTATAACAGTCAAGCAATGAATTTTCAACCACTGGTTGAAAATTAAACCAACACAAAAGAAGAAAACAGGATGGCCAATAGTTCCATAGAAATATCCTCTGGGATCGACACAGCGAAAAATTTCCAAGTCAGGAAACTCCCAAAAGGACAAAAGAAGAAAATAAATCCAAAATGCTAATACACAATCTTGGAAAAGAAGAAAGAACAGGGGCACATGGCATACAAGCCATAATCAATACACAATCAGTTCAGTCTCAAACTAAATACTTCCTGAAGAAACAAAAAAAAACTCGTAACAGTCTTCCAAAGAAAACAAAAAAGTTACGACAACACTTCAAAAGAAACAAAAACATCATTACAGATCTCCAAGGGAACATAAGAAACACTATAATCTTCCAAAAGAACAAAAAAATCATTACAGTCCGTCAACAACAATAAAACTTCCAACTGGGTACACAAATCTCAAAAGCAGGGCAAGAAGGGTAAAGAAGAAGAAGAAGAAGAGTATATATATATATATATATATACACAAGGCAAAAACTAATGCTTATCTTCC